ACTAAGGAGGGGGAGAAAGAAAGAAAACATGAGGGATCTTTGTGGTGATGGAAATGTTCTGTATCTTGATTATAGCAACGTCAGTATCCTGGTTGTGATATTGTACTACATAGCTTTACAATATGTTACCCTTGGGTAAAGGTACACCTGACCTCTCTATTTTATACATGTGACTCTATAATTATCTTAAAAGCTTAATTTAAAATAGATAGTAGAATCTATGGAAAATGATATAAGCCACTTCTCTCTTCCCTATAGGAGCCAGAAATAAAAGGCCGAGTACAATGTGTGGCTGTGTATCTGGGCCCTGATGGGTGTGTTTCCAGTTCCTGATACTTCCTCCTTGCTTTTGCTTCCATCTTGGGATCTCATGATCCCATATGCCACCGGAACCCAAAAGATTCTCTACTTTTATCTCTAATTCTAAGGCGATCTCAGGGAAGTAGAACGCAAATAGATGTTGACCATCTTAGACAGAAGAACTTTAAATCAAGGCCACAAGTGGGGTGAGAGGAGGGCGGGAGTGGAAGAAGGGATAAGAGGGAGTGAACCGGGATAAGAAATCCTGGGATCTAGTTTCTCACTCCACAACCAAGTGCACAAGTTTCTTAAATGCTTAGGGCTTCAATTCAACCCAATTTAATATTCTCTAGGCACCAAGGACAGCGACAAGAGGGGGTTGGGGGAGTGGTTAGCCCTTAGCCCATATCTATATCAACATCACCCACCAAAAAAAATAATATTCCTTGCTACAGAAATGGACATTTTCATAATCTTGGGTAAAATGTGAATAAATGCACTTTTAAAAATCTCTGTATTAATCCATAACATACAATGTAAGTAAAAAGTGGGGAGCTTAAAATACAAACACAACATCAAGAAAATCACCTAGATGCACTCCAACCCTCCTCCCTCAACAAGACTGCCACTCTTCACTGGCTCTTGGTCACTAGGATCTACTCTTTGTAATGTGTTATAGGGATTGAGGCTAAAGAAAGTTAAAAGGATTCTCATAATCTGATTAGTAGACAAAGGAAAGGAAAACACATTTATCAAACATCTGTGTGCAGCAGACACTCTTCTAGGCACTTATTATATACATTATCTCATTTAATCCTCACAACCTTGTGTGATGCCATCATTATCCCCATTTTACAGATGTAGAAACCAAAGTTCACAGAGGAAAGGTAACTTGATACACAGCTAGTAACTGGTATCAGAGACCATCTAAATTCTTTTCACTATATTCTACATTGCCTCTAATTCGATGGAGGCTATTTATTTTCTGTACTGTGCCGTTCTTTCCTGATTTTCTAAAATCATTGTTTTTAATAAGGACAAATAGGAGTTTTTTCCTTTTTTAAGGTGATAAGAGCAAGAAGGCATGATTAAAATACATTGTACTTTACACATTTGAAAAATCACTGGAGACCATTTTTTTTCCAACAGCTTTGTAGAGATATAATTTACCTGTCATAAAATTTATCCTTTACCCATGTTAAGTGTACAATTCAATGAATTTTAGTATATTTACAAAGTTGTACACTATCACCACAAACTAATTTTAGAGCATTTCCATTAGCCTAGACAGAAACGTCATGCTAGGTCCACTCCTCATTTCCGCTTCCAGCCTCTGACAACCACTAACCTACTTTCTGTCTCTGTAGATTTGCCTTTTCTGAACCCTTCATACAAATGGAATCATACAATATGTGTTGTTTTGCGTGTAGCTTCTTTCACTTAGCATAATGTTTTCAAGGTTCATCATCGATGAAGAGTATTCCATTGCATAGATATACCACATTTTGTTTCTCTACTTTTTTTTTTGTCCATCCAGTTGATGGGCTTTTGGGTTGTTTCTATTTTTTGGCTATTGTAAATAATGCTGCTATGAACATTTGCATACAAGTCTTTGTTTGGACAAATGTTTTCATGTTCCTGGGTAGATATTGGAATTGCTGGATCGTATAGTTAAGTCTATGTTTAAGTTTTTAAGAAACTGTCAGACTATTTTCCAAAGTGAATGCACCATTTAACATCACCACCCGCAATGTATGAGGGTTCAGATTTCTCCACATCCTCGCCATCACTAACAATTGTCTGTCTTTTTCATTCTAGGCATTCTATTGGCTGAGAAATGGTATCTTGCTACAGTTTTGATTTGCATAATGACTAATGATGTTGAGTGTCTTTTTATGTACTTATTGGTCATTTGTATATCTTCTTTGGAGAAATAGCTATTCAAATCTTTTGCCCATAAAAAAAAAAAAAAGACTTTATTTTGTTCGTGTGTGAGGACTAGCCCTGAGCTAACATCCGATGCCAATCCTCCTCTTTTTTGCTGAGGAAGACTGGCCCTGGGCTAACATCTGTGCCCATCTTTCTCCACTTCATATGGGACGCCGCCACAGCATGGCTTAAGCGGTGCATTGGTGCGCGCCTGGGATCTGAACCTGCGAACCCTGGGGCCAACGAAGCGGAGCTCGCGCACTTAACCGCTGCGCCACCGGGCCAGCCCCAAGACTTTATTTTTTAGAGCAGTTTTAGGTTCACAGCACAACTGAGTGGAGAGTACAGAGAATTTCCATATACTCCTTGTACCCCACCACTCACAGCCTCCTCCACTATCAATACCCCCCACCAGAGTGGTACATTTGTTATAATTGATGAACCTACATTGACACATTGTAATCATCCAAAGTCCACAGTTTACATCAGGGTTCACTCTGTGGGTTTGGACAGCGTATAATGACATGCATCCACCATTATAGTATCATACAGAATGGTTTCACTGCCCTAAAAACCCTGTGTGCTGCACCTATTCATCCTTCCTTCCCCCCAGCAACCAATTATCTTTTTATTGTCTCCATAGTTTTGCCTTGTTCCAGTACGTCATATAGCTGGAATCATACAGTATTGTAGCCTTTTCAGATTGGCTTCTTTCACTTAGTAATATCCATCCAAGCTCCTCGTGTTTTTAGGCTTCATAGCTCATTTCTTTCTAGCACTGAAGAATATTCCGTACCACAGTTTATTTATCCATTCACCTCCTGAAGGAATTCTTGGTTGCTTCCAAGTTTTGGCAATATGAATAAAGCTGCTCTAAACATCCATATGCATATTTTTGTGTGGACATAAGTTTTCAACTCATTTGGGTAATACCACAGAGCGTGATTTCTGTATCATATGGTAAAGTGTATTTAGTTTTGTAAGAAACTGCTAAACTGTCTTCCAAAGTGGCTCTGATTCTGCATTCTCATCAGCAGTGCGAGTTCCTGCTGCTCCACACCTTCATCAGCATTTGGTGTTGTCACCTTTGCTCCTTTTTTAGTTGGGCTATTTGTCTTTTTACTATTGAGTTGTAAGAGCCTTCTATATATTCTAGATACAAGTCTCTTATGAAATATATGATTTGCAAATATTTTCTCCCAGTTTGTGTGTTGTTTTAGAGGCAATTTTTTTTTCAATGAAAAGGAAGATTAAACGCTAAATTAATGATAGTGGTTACTCCTAGAGGGGACAGGAGCATGGATTAGGTTAGAATTACACAGGTAGATATTGTATAGGTGCTGTGAGAGGTAGAGCACAGACTCTGGAGCCAGCTACCTGGGTCTCAACCCAACGCTGTCAAGTAACTTAGGCTATGTCTCAGTTTTCTCATCTGTAAAATGGGTATAACAGCATTTATCTCACAGGTGTGTTGTGAGGCTTAATTAAGCTAATGTGCCAGGAGAATTTAAAACAGTGGTTACCAGAAACACAGTACCCTTTATATAAACCTTTAACTATATTACCACTTCTTAAGGTGGGTACTGAGGTTCAAGTTTCCATTTCATCATCATGCTTTGTAACATATATGTGACACGCTTTTATAACTCATTTAAATGTACAAATACATTTTAAAAGATAATAAAGGAAAAAGAATCCGATTTTTTACCCTTTAAAACTGGAAAGACTGGGCTAGATGCAGGGCTATACCCCATGCCAGCCCAGGTCCCAGAGCTCGTCCGGGGCCCTGTCCCCTCCTCCTGCCCCAGCACTCGCGAGGTGCCCGTCAACCGCACTTCCAGAAAACACCGTGAGCCCCAGGCCGGGGTCGATTTGGGGGGGCCACCTCACATGGGAAGTGACCTAGACTCTGCACCACCGCAGTTTCCTCACCTGTAAAATGGGGATGCTAACGGTACCGACCTGATCTGCGAGATCAAAGGCAGGTAAAACATCAGTGCAGGGCTGTGTGCTGCCAGCTGCTACCTCTCCCTTTACACTTCTAGGCTCCCCTGACGTTCAGAGAACTTCAGTAGAAAAACGCCCGGAAAGAGAGCGAGGCCCAGAATGGACGACTTAAGCTTCTTCCAGCTCCAAGATTCTGGGCTGTTTTTCCACAGAGATCCAGAGTTTGGGATGAAAATGTGTTTTTCGGAAATGAGGCTGATGATATAACCTACCTCCCGGGCTGTGGAGAAACGCCGAGAAGCTACAGGCCGGGAGAGCGCTTTCATATCTATACCGCGCTTCAAAAAGAGTTGGTTTATCAAAAAAAAAAAATGTTGTTGCGGAAAAGTCGCATAGGGGTCAGGCCAGCGCCAGGCAGCCCAGGCGCCATGATCTGCCTCAGCCGTCACCTTGGGGCCAGCCCGGGGAGTGACCGAGGAAGCTCTGCGAGGCCAACGAGCCAACGGGCGCCACCAAACCAGAGCCGCGGAGGCCAGGCAGCAGCTCGACGGCACCGCGCCAGCTACCCGCCCAGCCGCAAGCCTACGGCCCGAGAACCCCCTGACGACGGCGCAGGGAAATGGTTAGGACGACCAACGGCCGAGAGGGCGTTTCCGCAGATGAGCATGCGCAGCCGCCAGCAGCCGCTCTTCTCCCACCCATAGAGCCTCTCCAGCCAATCAGAGAGCCCCAGAGCCGTCCTCCCGCCCACCCCTGGGGTTTGGGGGCGTGACGTTTAATTTTAGCCAATGACAAAAGATATTCGTTCTTCCGCCACACTCGCGAGTTGAAAAGGGGGTGGGGCTGGGAGGCGGTTTCTTTAGCAAGATGGCGGCGAGCGGCCTCCGGCGGGCTGCTGCTGCGGCCGGCACCTCGGTGAAGCCCATTTTCAGTCGGGACATGAACGAGGCCAAGCGGAGGGTGCGCGAGCTCTACCGCGCCTGGTACCGGGAGGTGCCGAACACCGGTGAGAGGCAACGGCGCACGCGGGGCCCCGGAGGCAGCCCCCCAAGGTCGCAGCCGTCCCGGCCCCCGATTTCTCCTGGGCCGAGCTGAGGTCACCAGCTTGGGCAGAGGCGACTCCGTGTGCTTCAGGGGAGGAGAGTCATTCGAGCTTTGGTGGACCCAACCTGGCGGCGGCGCCGGGGTCACACCAGCCGTTCCCAGCATCCGTACCGCGCTTCTAGGCGCCCTTGGCGATTTGGCTCCTATGATCCCCTGTAATTCTTAGTGGAACCCCGGGAGGGAGAGCAGGGACTGTCGGTGACATACTCATTTTATAGAGGAGGCAGCTGAGGCACCGAGAGGTCAAGTGACGCGCCCAAGGCCCAGAGCTACCCCGTGGTGGGTCGGTCTGGAACCCCAAGTCAACTCGAGAATTCCAGAACATATTTACAGACGCCCGTAGGTTGTATAACCCAAGAGGCTGTAAGATTTGAGTGATCATCTGGTTCCCACATCCCCCACAAAAAAAGAAACTGAACCGGAGAAGGGAAGTGGCTTTCCCAAGGTCATCCATAAATCAGTGGTGCCTTTACAGTCCCTGCAGGTGAGATGTCCTGCCCCTCTCTCCAGTCCCCCACGCCTTGCTCCCTATATTCTCCTTGCCCCTAGTATTCTTTAGGAACTCCTACTCCTATCTCCTGCTGGCTTGCCCCCTACTTCCTCAGAACCCCTGCCTTCGCTTAGATGTCGGAGAACCAATCTGTTAACCTGAAGGATTAAAACAAGCTCCTCGGGTGCAGAGACTGTACTTTTTCTTATCTTGGCATCCCCGTCAGTGCTGCTCAGAGCACCTGATGAAAGAAACGTTGGGGAAAATCCCATCTAAACTGTCACGGGCAGTACCAAATATCAGGGACTGTGGATATTGTGTTATTTTGTTGCTTTAGTGTGCTTTAATGTAGACCATCACTGCTAGTCTGAGAGAGAAGGTGTTTTTAAGCAAGCTGGAGCACCGTAGCACCCCTCAGGGCTGCCACTTCCCTGCCTGTGTGTGAGAAGCCGTGGAATGTGGTGGTTGCATGGACTTGCCTCCAGGCCCTGCCCCTTATTAGCTGTGTGACCTTGGGCAAGTTATTTCATCTCGCTGTGCCTCAATTTCATCTCGCTGTGCCTCAGTTTCCTCATCTGCAAAATGAGGATAATAATAGTACCTTCTTCAGAGAGTTACAGTATTAAGTAGATTAATGTATCTAAAGTGCTTAGGATAGGGCCTGGCACTGAGGCGTTCATTAATTGTGGGGTGCTACTGTTGTTTTTATTGTTATTATTATTGTCATTGCTATTTATAGGGCTTACCCTAGCAGGAGCCTCCTTGCAGAACCCAGTTCTCTGATGTATGAGAACTGTGTCTGCTCCACAGTGTCCCTGTCCTCAAGCTGACTTTTTGAGAGATTGCTGAAGACCAGAACTTAAACCCACAGGATACTAGGATGGGAGAGACTTAAGTGAACTGCTGGGCCAGGGACTGCAAATTCAAATGCCTTCAGAGGACAGGTGACAGTCGCAAGCGTGTGTTGGAGTGTGTATTCAAATTCAGATGTTTAAACATATAGTGTTTGCCTAGCAGAATACTTGTATGTGTGCCCAGAACCCTTTCTTGTTGCAGGGAGGAGCAGGAGGTGGGGAACAAGACCCAGACGCAGGAAGAGTAGTTTGTGAAGGGTGAAAATCAATGGCTAAGTTGAGGATAGAACCCAGATATCCACCGGCAGGAGCCAGCTCTTTCTAAACCATCTGCTCCCAGGACCTTCCCTCAAATACTGTTTGAGAAGATAATCCCAGAGTCAGAAGGGTCCTGAGAGGAGGAGGAAAAGGCAGGGGGTTACAGGATCCTAGACAGCAGAGAAAAAAGGGGGTCAGGGGGCCAGTATACCTTTATAGGAAGGATCAGTGATCTGTAGCTGGTCAGTTACTCAGGCCTGTGTCTACACTGGTGTCATGCTATCCATGATTGGGACTCCAGCTAAGGAACTGAACCGAGGATTGGGAATAAGTAATAGTATTGATAATAACTAACATTTATTGAAATGCATACATATGGCCCAGCACTATGCTAAATACTTTACATTGCCTTATTATAGGGTAGGCTCTAATTGTTTCCCTGTCTTACAGATGAGAAAACTGAGGTACATGAGCTTGTCTTATGTCACACAGTTAGTAAGTAGAAAAGCCAGACTTCAGAGGCTGACTGTCCAGCTGTTACACCTGGCTCTTAGCTCCTGCTGTAGTATTCCCTGAATCTCACAGAACCCAGTTATGCTGCATGTGTAGAGTGCCATTTGCCTGGGTGGTGGCTGCCTTGGCATGGGAACACAGGAACAGAACCGCCTTTGAATACCTCCTTTGAAAAAATTTTACATGCTGCTTGCTGGTTACAGCATAACAGGAGACTGTATAGAAACCATTCATTTAATTTCCATTTCACTGAGTACCTCTTGGACTATAGGGTCAGTACTAGGTACCTAGAGAGATATAAAAGTGAATAAAACACAACCCTGCCTTCAAGGGTCTTATCATCTAGTCAGGAAGATAGGCATATAACCAGATCATTAGAACCCAAAATATAGTAGAGGTATGGGAAATAAGTGCTGAAATTTTTAACAGTTAACATTTGTATCAATGTTTTACTGTTTACAAGATGTTGTCACTTGAATTTCACCTCATTCCTGTGAAGGTTATTTTCTATTTTTTAGATGAGGAAACAGGCTGAAAAGCCTGTACCCCAGACAAGGTCATAGCTCATAATGGTGTGGAGACCTTACCTCGCTCTTTGACCTCCATCCCATTCTCTTTTCCATTACACCATGCTGCCTTTGCATCTGAGGATCTCCCGGTGCCTGGTATGAATGCTACCAAAGTGAATTGGAGCAAAGAGCTGAGAACCATATCAATGTCACCCTTCCTAATCTGTCAGAGCCTTCCTGACTCAGAAAAGCCTTAAACTTTGGGAAAACACATAGAGACCATGGTAAAGTCACCTTCATCCAAAAGGGGCACTTCCATATCTTCCTTTTGAGTGTCTCAGATTTTTTAAAATTGAAAGTTAAATATTCAGGGTTCAAAGAATAAGCCAGGAATCTGTGAGTTGAAGAACAGTTGGAATTGATTTACACTAGGGTTTCTCAACAGCTGCATTTGTGCTGAGTAAGTCTTTGTTATGGGGGCTGTCCTGTGCATTGTAGGATATTTACCAACATCCCCGGCCTCGACCCACTACGTGCCAGTAGCACTCCCCTCCTAGTTGTGACAACCAAAAATGCCTCCAGACATTGCCAAATGTTCAGGGGGAGGGGTGCAAAATCATCACTAGTTTGAGAACCACCAATTTAGACCAAAGAACAATTCAGCAGCTATAGCTTAGGCTGTTCCTGTTTGCCTTCTTGCAGCCTTTCTCACTGTGGAGGGGTGTTCAGGGGGTTAGCATGGGAGGAGGGAGCCTAGGACAAAGCTATGGAATTTGTCTCTCTAGAGACAAGGGTTCTTAACCTTGGAGGAGAGGCATTCAGGGATCTGTGAACTGACATTGTAAGCAAAACTGCCTGTGAACATTTTCCTGAGGAGAAGATTCATACACCCAGTGCCCTTGTGTGTGGTTCAGGTCATGAGGAACAGGAGCGATGGGCACCAGTTCCCTGAGTATGCCTAGAGGCACCTTGTTTTTTCTCCCAAGGTTGGGCAGGAATCTAATATAAAAATGCAGGAAAAGTAAGCACTAATAGCAGGGAAGATTCCCCATATTCCTTTCCTTAAAACAGAACCAATTGTAAATTTAAAAGCACAGTAAACAACCAGGATTCCAGGCCCACGTTTGCCAGGGACCAGTAGTATGACTTCAGGCAAGGCCCCACAGTGCTCTAGGCCTCACTCCTCTCAAGTGGTAAGATTCTAAATTCCAGGATCCATATTAGTTTGCATTTGTTTTTGTGTCTCTCTTATTGTCCCTTTGTTTGCTCTTTTCTAAAATTCCTAATATGATTCTGACAGTAGCGTTTAACAACCAGCTCTCTGGAGGAAACACTAGATTGATAATGTTTACCATTTTCCATGGTATAAATCCTCCCACCATAGTTGATTTTAAGCTATGAAAGTGAAGTCAGCAAGGGCAGATTTGGGAAGACCTGTGTATGATTGGCTCCCCATGAGAGCCTGCTCCAGCATACCACGGGATACTGAGCTCTTTCTAGTATGAGTGATCCTCTGTCTTCTCTGTTAACACTTGCCTACAAAGCCGGGATGCAATTTCTCCTATTAGATTTCTACTATTGCTTATTCTCTGCTTGGATCAGAAACGTCTTTGCAGCATGGTGTGCTATTTCCCTCAGTAGAAGCTTTATTTTTCTATCACTGTCACTAAGTTATGAGTATAATTAAAGATTCAAGCTTTATTGTTTTTTGTTGTTGTTTTGGGTTTTTTTTTGTGAAGAATATCAGCCCTGAGCTAACATCCATGCCAATCCTCCTCTTTTTGCTGACGAAGACCGGCTCTGAGCTAACATCTATTGCCAATTCTCCTTTTTTTCCCCAAAGCCCCAGTAGATAGTTGTATGTCACAGTTGCACATCCTTCTAGCTGCTGTATGTGGGACGCGGCCTCAGCATGGCCGGACGAGCAGTGGGTTGGTGCGCGCCCGGGATCTGAACCCAGGCTGCCAGTAGCGGAGTGCACGCACTTAACCGCTAAGCCACAGGGCTGGCCCCCAAGCTTTACTGTTGATTAATTCAGTCACTAAATAGCCCTAAATAGTGGTTTCAGAGCTGGTTGTGGTCATTCTATGTCACAGGAATGGCCACAACACAAGGTATCCTCACCAGATGGGCACCCTGGTCTCCTTCCTCCCACAGTGCTCACCCCAGCCTATGAGCCTTGCTTATGGTGTCCCCTCAGCCTAGTGTGCCCCTCTTGCTATCCTTATTCCACCTACAACACAAGGTTCTGTTCATGCCCTTGTTGTCATCAGCAAATTCACTGAGGGCTGACTGCCAGGGATGAGAATACGAATGACTAAAACCTCATTTTCAAAGGACATCCATATGCCTCATCCAAAGGCCAGGGGCACTATTTCAGGCACTTACTTCATCAGGGATTGCTGAATATTGTGATTTTATGTTTGAATTCATGGACAGCTATCCCTCCACTAGAATATAAGACCTAGAGGACACAAGCTACATCTTAAACTCTCTCCTTCCCCTGAGTAACCTAATATGTTAGTAATTGCTTGCTGGATTGAATCCTTCCCTACCTGCACAAACCCTCAGCAGTCTTCCTCAACTGTAAGTTTGTGTGGTGCATCAGTTTATGTTAATTTCAACCCCATCATCTTTTGCCAATTGTTCCATATAATAATAATGCTAATTTATTGAGAGCTTTATTCCCTGCCAGGCACCATTCCAAGCATTTTGCATTATCTCATAGAATCCTTACAACAGCTCTGGAGTTGTATGTGCTATTATTGTCCTCATTTCACTCATAAATAAATGCATTAAGGCACAGAGAACTTAACATACACAGGATTATAGCTGATAAATGAGAGCTGGGATTTGAACCCTTAAACTCTAAAACTCTGCTATACTGCCTCTTCAAACACAGTGGTCTTGTCTCCCCGAACAAAATGTAAGCTCCTTGAGAGCAGATGCCATGTCTCACACTTCTTTGCATCCTCAAGCATCTAGCTTAGGGTCAAGCTGATATTTGGTGAATGGAATGAATGGGCAACCTGTACATGTTCAATGAATATCCATTGACTCTGTTTTGAAGTAACATGTTTTAACCATATAATTTCTACCCTGAATCACATTTTCTCTCTAGTGCACTTGTTCCAGCTAGACATCTCTGTGAAACAGGGACGGGACAAAGTCCGAGAAATGTTTATGAAGAATGCCCACGTCATGGACCCCAGGGTAGTTGATCTTCTGGTCATTAAGGTAAATGACTCTCCCTGACCAATTTAAAAGAGCAGCCAACTTGTCTGGAGCTTTTCAGTCTTCTCAGATGAACATTTTGTCTCCAAGTTTAAAAAGAAACTACTGGATCAGCAACAGTTGCTTATTGTTTCAAAAGGAACAGTTGAACTTGGAGGTTACCACCTGGTTAAGCAGATTATAAGACAGTTCAAGGGAAAATCCATTGTGGCTTGCATTATATAACTAAAAAAAAAGATATAGAGAGGAAAATCTGAACTGTTCTTGAACCTCATCCTTTGAAGTGACTGCTTCACCTGGTTGCCAGCTTACAGCTAGAAGAGGCAGGCTGGTTGACTGAGTCCTGTATAAATGGGGTCAAATCCTGGCCCTGATTCTGTCTCTCTGGTCAGTCATGTTAGCATCAATGGGAGCTTCAGCATGGACCAGTACGTAACATGGAAGAAATGTTAAGCAAAAACATAAGTTAAGCCAGTCAGATTAGGCATTCATGGGGCAGAGGCCTGTTGACCTGGAAGTCTCTCCTCTTAGGACCAGTTAGCCACAGAGTTCAAGAATATATGAAAGGCCTCACAGATCATTTAGTCCAACCACCTCATTTTCCAGATGCAGAAACTGTGTTCTAGACAGTGTGTTACTTGCCGAAGGTCACTCAACAAGTCAGTGCCAGAGCAAAGAATACAATGTTGGCCTTCAGTGCTGTATTCCTTCCACTTGACCATGCTGACTGAAGACCTCTCCCCTCACTTTTGCAGGGAAAGATGGAACTGGAGGAAACGATTAAAGTGTGGAAGCAGCGGACACATATTATGCGGTTCTTCCATGAAACAGAAGCGCCAAGGCCAAAGGATTTCCTGTCCAAGTTCTATGTTGGCCATGACCCATGAAGTCACTCAGTGGAAAGGTGCATGCTGATATTTAAATACTTTAGAGCACAAATAAATCAATATATGATGGTCATATATTCATGACAGAATTCCATTGGTGAACCAATGGGAAACACTGTTTCTGCAGTCTCTCTCACTTTTTGCCTGAACGAGTGGGGTCTTGGTATACACACCACCTCTTCTTTCCCTTTTCCTGAAGTGTGGTGTTTCCTGTAAATTAGATTGGATTCTTTTTCTCAGAGCCTCACATGTTGGTAAACAGGAAGGATGAGGCCATCTGCTCAGAAACTGTCATACTGGGTATGAGGCTGGATGATTTCGTTAATTCCAGGATTAGACAGCTTGGTGTCACAGCACACATTATCCAAAATTAGCCAGCTCTTGCTGTTGGAGAGGCATCAGAGTAGTACTAAGCAGCACAGAAGTAGAGCTGACAGGCTGGGCTCTTTTTCCCTGGGTCCTGAAGGAAATGGCTGTTCAGAGGTCTAGTCCCTCTACTTGCAACAAGCACCGGCCCTTCAAATGAAATTAACTTCCTCCTCAATTAGGCATCCTGCTTGGGACACAGCTGTTCAGTGCACATACAGGGAACATAAATATTCCTACTGTTTTTGCAAGCTCGGGTGTAGCTCTAAGGTGACAGGAGAATAAATGTTGGCCCACGTTAAAGAATTGATCTCCGCTTTGGATGGTAGTCTTCTCCATTCTGTCCCTGGACAGTCTAAATGCTGGAGAAAGGGGTCAGTATCTGTAGGTACAACCACCCGAGGATTCCCAAATTTTTCAACACCAACAGTCCCTTTATTATCTTTTCATCTAAGGAAACCGAGTTTTGAAAGAATCATTCTAATAATGATATTTCTCAAGTAGTTTTAAACTAACAGTCAAAGCTCCTTATGATTAGCATGTGACAATTAGCCAGTGTTACTCAACATAAAAAAAGCTTGAGCTTTATTGAGGGAAAACAGTTTGTGTTGCGCTTTTGTAAATAATGAGAATAGGTCCCAGGCCCCCATAATTGTGGATCCGTAGGGGCCAGGAGATCCAGGATTGTAAATCAAAGGCCTATATATCAGCTGAGAGAGAAAGGCCAGCCAAGACAAGAAACCGCAACAACTAGAGCCTGCTCATGCTGAGAAATTTCAGCCATCACTTAGTCATACAGAGCTGATGTTTATTCGTTCATTCATAATCTGACTGTGCTCAGTGGACAGCACATCTCAGGGAACCTCCTAGAGCCTGGGGATCTGGGCTGTGGTCACAGACCATGCAGGAGGCTTCACTGGAGTTGGGAGGCTGAGGGCTTTCCCTGGGCCCTTCTGCTGATAGGGGAGGAGGAGAGGCTGTGAGCATCACCATTTCTTAATTAAGGTAGGGTTTTCACCCTTCTGTACTTCTTTCATGCCCTGTAAGAAAGGAAAGCAGCAGTGAAGTCGGCAACAGAGCAGTCATCTATCCACATACCGAAAGAGAATTCCACAGAGTGGTTCTACCAAACACGAGGAGAAAGGCAGTTTTGAGGACGTTTGATTATTCATTCATACATTTACTGAGCATTCACCATAGGCCAGGCGCTTGGGGCCCAAAGGTATAAAAAACATGTTCCCTGCCACCAAGTAGTTCATAGTCTAGTGGCGTTTGGGGTGTGTGTAGGTGTTTAAGTACATAATACTGAGTGTCACAAGAGAGGTACTGGTCAGTCAGAGGAAGGAGCAGTCACTTTCTTTTGTTTTTTTGGTGAGGAATATCGGCCCTGAGCTAACATCTGCCAATCCTCCTCTTTTTTGCTGAGGAAGACTGGCCGTGGGCTAACATCCATGCCCATCTTCCTCCACCTTATATGGGACACCGCCACAGCATGGCTTGCCAAGCAGTGCATCGGTGCGCGCCCGGGATCCAAACCGGCGAACCCCGGGCCACCACAGCAGAGCCCGCACACTTAACCACCTGCGCCACCGGGCCAGCCCAGGAACAGTCACTTTCAAATGGAGGGATGCGGGAAGACTTCAAAGACAATGAAGAATTGGTGGAAATACGACAGAGCAGTGGGAAATAGCTTTCCAAGTGGGAGGAACAGTGAGCCAATGCTTGGGAGTAAGAGTGTAGGTAATTCAAGAAATGGTGAAGGGGGCCAGCCCAGTGGCATAGCGGTTAAGTGTGCACACTCCACTTCGGCAGCCCAGAGTTTGCGGGTTCGGATCCCAGGCGCAGACCGACGCACCACTTCTCAAGCCATGCTGTGGTGGCGTCCCATATAAAGTGGAGGAAGATGGGCACAGGTGTTAGCCCAGGTCCAATCTTCCTCAGCAAAATGAGGAGGATTGGCAATGGATGTTAGCTCAGGGCTAGTCTTCCTCAAAAAAAAAAAAAAAAAAAAAAATGGTGAATAATGGGGACAGGTGTGTGGTTGGGAATATAGATGAGGCTAGAATAACAGGTGCAACCAGATCAGGGCAAGCCCTGAATGCCAGGCTAAGGAGTCACGAGTGTCCTTATCTATGACAGTAATACAGCCATGCAGCACATCACCACCAGCAGTCAACACAAGGAAGCTGAATGGGACTGACACTGGGGGAAGGGTTTGTGAGCAGTGCAGGACCAAGGCTGCACTAGTGCAGAGCTTGGTAACCAGAGCTGACCATGGTGAGGATCTGCAGTTTCTAAATTTCAGTGTGGAACACTGAAATGAAGATGTTTGTGATGTGTATGTATGGCATATTGTCAAGAAAATTTGTGGGTTGAGAGATTGAGGGTACATAAAGGACAAATGAAAAGGCTGGCTGGGATCCAACCTAGTTGGAAGAGATCCAGTGATTTGTAAGTAAGATGGTTTCCTTCATCCAACATAGAGAAAATGCAAAATAAAAACATTAGCTACTTGCTGTTTCAAGTGTCCAAATGCTGCTATCAGGCCAAACTGCATCACACTTCAGATGCTCCACCCCACTTTCTGCTCCTGGTCCACGTAGAGGGAAAAGCAAGTCTTACCTATTAGTCGTCGTCATCATCATCCTCTGGGACAAAAATGTCATGCTCCTCAAGTAGAGCAGCAAAGTTCTTGCTAATGAGCGTCCCGACATAGAGAAAGGGGATCACAATGGAGAACACGCGGAGGAGGCCGAAGGACATCTGCGGGGGGTCAGAGCAATGGCTGTGAGCTCCGAGCTGACAGCAGCAGGACTACAGAAGGCCCGGCCCTCTTAGGGGCATTCCCTCCTGTGGATCCCAGACCCATCATAAGCAACTTCATTTTAAAGTCCTTGGAAAAATTCAGAGCAAGAAAAATAAACAGAAGAGATAGAGTGACTGTTATGGCAATCAAAGTAGATACTGGAAAGAAAAGTATTAGGCACTTCAGACATCTAAAAATTTGGGCACAACCTGGTAACTACTCGCAGATACCTACAGACAAACAGGTGAGAAAGTACTAAGAGAGCTGGACTCTGGAAGTAGAGTTCAGCTCTACTTCAATTAGACACTAAAACACATGAAAACGGATTACAGAAAGATGTAGTATGAAGGGATATTCTATACAGTTCTTGAACAGGTTCCCCGGTGCCTGAGAAATTTGATTTCACCACATTAAATTTTAGAAACAAGTGTGTTTTGAAAAGTGAGCATGTCTTTACACTAAAAGACTAGCTATTTAGAAGGACTGGGAGTTTCAGTAAAAGCTCAACATCTCGTATTTCCTGGAGTTTCAAAAAGAAAAAAAGTTTAGCTACGCCTTTTTATAAGGCAGCTCTTCCCCAACATGGACCCCACACCTTCCTGCTTCTTGCTTTGAAACAACCCTGAACTCACTTGTCTGTGTGAGCTAGCCTATTTTTAAAAGAACTTGGTTTTGTTTTTCAACTCCCACACAGCTCTGGAGTCAAAAAGCAAATTTTTGTTGGATTATAGGGGAGTGTTTCCATTTTACTTAGAAAAACCCAAGGATACTGAGGGCATGTGATAGCATTCAGCGGCGGAAAAAACAGGACCTGGTGGGGGTTGTACCCCCAAGAACCCTGGATTCCAGGACCTAACTGAGCTGCTAGCTTTGGAAACTGGCTGGACCGCTCTGGCCCGATTCTTCATTTGTAAAAACAGTGACTATAATAATTCCCTACACACCTCTCAGGATTTAAACCTCAGACGATTGCACACCTCTCAGGTCGCAAATCACATGAATTAAATACTAGGTCAAAACTCATAAAAAGATAAGGCCTGTCCTACGTATCCTTTATTTATAAAGTCCTTTCACAATTCGTTATTTCATCCCATCAACTCTTGAAGCAGACAGGGCACAGAGGTTATGTGACTTGTCTGTATTAGATGCAAAAAGCCGAGTCTTCTGGCTCCGCAGAACTAGGGCACCACGCTCCTCACGATAAGCCAGTGCAAAATGCCGTCTTTCTCGGCTCTTCCCCCATCTTCTGTCTCCAAGCACCCAGCTCAACACCGGGATCTCTCTCGTCCATTTCCTCCCGTCTGTCAAAATTAGCCGCACATTAACGCAAAACTTTGTCCTTGATCCGTCTTCCGATCTAAGGAGGTAGTATGATTGGTCTTTGCTCCTGTCAATCAGCGTTGACCCCCCCCCACACACACACTCCCCACAATGATTGGCCTCAGCCCCTTCGCCCCGCCTCCATGCAGACACTCACTTTCACCGGTTTGGGCAAAATGGCGCCGCTGCGAGTAACGATGACTGACCTCCACGGCACCAGACTCCGACCTGGACCGCCTCGTCCGGCGGAGACATCTCCACCTTTCCTCCAGCTCGGCCCGATCCGCAGAGCCCCGGATCGGACGGGTGCCAATGCCAGCCAGCGAGCCGCTCCAGAAGCCATCTCCCAGCTCCGCCCCTAGGCCCGGCTCCCAAACCCCACTGCCTGGCCCCGGTGACGCCCTCGGGAAGAACGCCGCCCCAAGCCTCGCGAGGCATTCGGGATCAGACGAGAGGCCCAACCTCCCACTTTGCCCAGTGCTCCTAGTTCCTGTTGCGATGGGAAACAGGCATTTGTCTCTGGCCCGACGTGGTGACGTCACGAGGATGGCGCCGATGCCCCAGTCCCACCCTCTTTCCGGGCGTTGGGTGGGGCCGTCAGCTAGTGTCGTGCGTGTGAAGCCTTGAGATTTCTGCCGTTGTTCCCCACCCAGGACAGCCAGGGCTTGAGAGAGCAGCCCTCAGGTGGCCGTTGAAATAAACTTGAGGAACCGAAATGAGTAAAAAAAAACTTAGTGTTTTAATCGTATAAAAAACACAGTAACAATAAGAAAGATAACAAAAGCCTGGAGTATCTGCGTATAAAACAAGGTGCAGTGGGCTGTGGGCTCCTGTACAGGGGTGGGAATGCGGCCCCTCTTTGTGGGAAACAAGCCAGGCAGGAACGGGTCCTGGATCCTGGGCCACATCTCAGCGTCCTGGCCCTAAGAGGCTCTGAGCCTCAGCCTCTAGGCCTTGATCAGGCTGCCTGTGACCCCCATAAGGGAGAGAGAGGCTAAGAAGGGGCAGGTTGTGTGTATTTGGGGCAGGGTCTCCGACCAGGTTCTGAATCATCCATTCAGCCACTGCCACCATACCCCTAGGGTGTCAAGCTAGTCTGGGCTCAGCTCTTTGGACCCAGCCAATTTGCTTCCCAGAACAATCGACAAAGAAAACACTTGGCCGATGCTGGTGAGAGTAGCAATGAAAGGGTCTTGGCAGGTACACACGGGGTGACAAGCAGGCCTGTGAATGAGTTCCCAGGTAGTTTCAGGAGCAGTCAGGAGAGAATAGTTTATCACAGGGTACCGAGAATCCTGTGCCCAAGCTCCTAGAATGCCCAGGACTGGGAACCAAAGTAGCTTTCCCAGGGAGCCACACTGCCTCCCCACCTCTTCTTTAGCTTCCCACTTGGCAGCTCTAGGACCTAGCTGCTGAGGACAGAGCGTAAGGATTTCTGCTGACATACAAAAGCTATGAGCCCCTCCTGGGGCAACATCCAATACCATCTGTTAACAGGACAGCCAGGGAGAGAGTATGGGCCCCAACACTTTCCGAGCAGAATAAATCCCTTTGTATTGGCTAAAGGCCCTCTCCGTCCAAAAGGCCCTTCCCAAACTGCAGAATGGGGGTCCCATGCCCCCACCCACACCCCGCATGAGGGACTGCAATCCCTTCTGCCACTCAGAAAGAGCTGGGCCCCAGAAACCCCCATGACACAATAAATCTACATTCTCTGACAAGGTCAGTCCCTCAAGTCAACAGTGCAGCCAACTTGTGGTATTTAAATGCACACAAGACTCACCATGTTGGAAATTATGGCTGTAGTTTGGCGTGTAGGTGAAAGTCAGGGTGGCCTGTGGCCATGTAATATTCCCCACTTCCTCCATTTCATCAATATCCTCTGAGAGAGGGGCAGCGCAGCACAGAGTCAGGAGACTTGGGTCTTGCTCTGTGGCTGCTGAGCAAGCCACCTCTGGGCCTCAGGAAATAAAGGGGTTGGAAGTAATGATACCTCCATCCCCTCCAGGCACAAGAGTGGATCTGGAACCCGGAGAAAGCCTAAAAAGCAGGAAGGAGAGAACCCCCCTCAAAAAGCAACTTTGGAAATGAGTAAACAGTAAACTCCTGAAAAAGCACTGGCACTGGTGTCCTGACCAGCAGGACGAAGGCAGAATCCAAAGGACCAAGGCTCAGGGCCTATTCTGTTCCTCACATTCTGGCTGGGCCCCCCGGGCCCTCTGCAGCCATCCCTGCCTCAGCTCCATGATCTCTTGGCCATACCAGTCGTGCAGGGTAGAGAAGCAGGAGGTCTCAGGGGACACAGGGCTCTGTCCCCTGCCTAGGAGGAGGTTGGCAGGGCCCTGCAACTCCCACTCAGCCAAGCCCCGCCCTGCTGGCCTGCTGCTCGGTTCTTCAACCAACCCTGTGGGACTGCAATCCCTGGAGCGGGAGTGGCCGTTTTCCAGGCCCGGAGACCAGCGGTCAGGAGCCTGGGGCTTACAGCGGCTGGTAACGACCCTCCAGGAGGAGTGGCGATGCAACGCCAGGCTCTGGCGAGCATCACGCAACTGGCTTTCCAGCTCGCGCACCACCAGGCGCATGTAGCCAAAGCTTGCCCGGGATAGCGCTTTCACCCACGCCTCCTGGGCCGCCGGCCCATCTGCCGCCAGCAGGTGTGGGCGCACACCAGGGGCGTCGAAGCGGATGGCGAAGGCAAACTCCTCAGGCACAGGAGCCTCAGCCAGCTCCACCGTGCAGCCTTCCAGCACCACCAGGCTCAGCGGGGCCCGGCCCTCTCGACTCTCGAAGGAAAACAGTAGGTTGCCCTTGAGGACAAACCAGCACCTTCGGCCAGTGCCACTGGGGGTGGGTGGAGTCCCTGGTCCCCCCCAAGTGCGCAGGAAACCCGTGTGGTCTGCTGGGGAGTCGCTCAGTGCGTAGTGGGCCACACTCCTCTCGTTCAGCTTCATGGCTCCCGTAAGAACTGTGAGGTGAGAGAGGTGGCTGCAGATCAGAGAGGGAGACAGCTCCCTTGGCCCTGTGGGGAAAAAAGTGCTGGCTCTGGAAGAGACCTGGGCCCCAGTCCTGTGGCATCTACTCACTTGCTGTGTGCCCTGAGGCTCTCAGTGTCTCCATCTGTGAAATGGGCTAGTCTCCCCTGCCTTTTCTCTCAAAGGATTGTTGTGAGGGTCATGCAAAAAACTGGACATCAGAGGACCCAGAGAAAAGGATACTATGATTGTATCAGACCAGGAAGTATGGCAGGTCTTTGACGTGGCTTGTAAAATCCAAAGAAACAGGCCTCAGCTGAGCTGAAATGGACTCCAAACCCATAGGAACCATTTTGCTCAAACCATCCCCTAATCTGGGGGCCCCTTAGCTCCAACTCTGAAGCCAAACCTCCCGGGTTTCCCAGACCCTCCTGGGCCCCTGCTGGCCTCTCATTTGTTAATGGCACAGTTGTCCTTCAGTAAGAATCTGCAGCCTTCAGGGCCAGATGCCAGTGGGGTGGGGCAGGCCTGCCTCATTCCTCCAGCAGCGGGGGCTTAGCTGGGGACCTGCTCAGTAAACGCGAGTATGGCACAACCTCAAGCTCAACCACTAAATGTTGGTGTCACACAGATCATAAGTGGCACCTAATCTAACTGTCCTCCTGACTCATGGAAAACTGAGGCCCAGAGTAGTGAAGGTGAACCATGCAAGGCCACATGGCCAGTGAGAAGCAGAGCTTCGTCTCCTGATTCCCTCACACATTCTGGGGACAAGTCTTGGCAGTGACCCACTTACCAGCATAGCTTGTTGGGTGAGGGCAGGGGTCTCTCTTGTCGGGCCACACAGCTCAACCCTTTGACCACGTGGTTCCCAAGGCACCTGCAAAACAATTCTCAAACCCAGTCAACCCATCCTAAAGGATGAGAACTAGTCAGCCTTCAGGGCCCAGTGAAACCACCACCTCCTCCAGGAAGCCTTCCCTGACCCCTCCACCCACCCAGCCACGCCAGGCTCCTAAGAGCAACTTTAGGGGCTGGGTCCCCTGGTCTTGACCATCAATCACTCTTCAGACCTCAGCTCCCTGTCCCCTGAGGCTAGGTCAGAGCTAAGTGGCCTCATAGCTTCCTGCTTTTCTCTTCTAGCACTTGTCACACTGTTTATTTGTGGGCTTTAATTTGTCACCTAATCTGAGAGGCCTGCCCTGATCACTATGTTAAGGTGGTCCTGATCACCAAGGGCCTGCATTTAAGATATGACGCAACCGCCAGCCCTCACATCTGTTTCATTTCCTTCATCTGGCAAGGATCTTCTCTGTGTTTACAGCGCTGTCCCCACCCCCAGAATGCCAAGGGCGGGACTCGACTTGGCTCCCTGTATAACCCCCAATAGCCAGCCCATGCAGGGCCCTGGGAGGCCCTCAGGAAGTATTTGTTGAAATAACTGGGAATACAATAGTGGACAAAACAAAGTCCCTCCCTCCCGGAGCCTACGTCCCGGGGGAGACACACTATAAACAAACAGACAAATATAATAAATGAATTAATAAATAACGTAAGGACCAATAACGATAAGGGCTGTGGAAAGAAACAAGCAGGGTCCTGGGATGGGGGAGGGGCCGCTCTAGACCGGCGGTCGGGGGAGGAGGAGGAGACCACAGATGTTTGCTGCAGGAGTGGCCTCACCTCTCGTCCCGGGCCCAGCACGGGGCGCAGAGACGGGGTCGAAGCACGCGGAGCTGTCCCCCTCCCCCTCCCTGTGCCTGGGGAAGGGCGCTCCCCCAAACCCTCCCAGGGGTGCGAGGCCCGGACCGCACAGCCGGTGGGAGGCTGGCGCACCGCGTCTTTTCGCATCCTTTTGTTGAAGGAGCAGCGGGCTGGGGCGTGGGCCCTTGACCCGCTGTCGCCCTGAAACAGGGGTCGCCTGATCGGGAACTCCCCGGGGTGCAGCTGCCGCCTCAGTTTCCCCGTCGGCTAGTGGGGCTGTGCCGCCACGTCCCCGCGGGCCACGCCTTCCGCGGGGCCGCCTCCTCCCGAGCCCGCCGGGCCCGCTCTCACCTCCGCGCCGCCGAGCGCCGAAAGCCAGGAGGGCGGCCCGTCGGGTGGGGGCGGCCGCGCCCCGGGGCGATCCCGCCTCCGGATCCCGCGCCTCCGCCAGGCCGCGAACGTGGCGGCGGGAGCCGGGAGACCCCGCCCGGGCGGCGCCAGTTACCGCCCCCGCTCCTCCCCGCCCAGAACTCACCAGGCCTCAGGATCCGTGAAGCCGTCCCTTGATCCATGCGGGAGGGAAACTGAGGCCCGAGAGGCCGGGACCTGCCTTGAACCCAGCGCCCCGCCTCAGGCCGTCCGCGGGCCTCGAACCCAGTCCCCCGCCCGGAGAACTGCGAGCCCCTCTCTTGCCCTCTCCAGTCGCCCTCTCCCCGCCCGGCCCACTTCTCCCACAGAGCCAAGTCTGGGACGGCCTCGGCCCCGGGCGCCTCCTCTGGGCGGGCTCCTATCCAGCCCGCGAGGCCCAGCCGAGCTTCCCACCAGGCCCCTGGGGTCGGCCCCATCTCTGCTTCTGGGCACCATCCATTTCTAGTTCCGCCACTCCCGCTGGCCTGCAGCCCACCCGCGGCCCCAGCCTCTGTCCGTGGGTCGGCCTGCGGTGAAGGTTGCAGGAAAACACAACCAAACGCAGGAGGCTGGGGCTTCCCGACGGCCCTGGAGGCCGGTGAGCTCAGAATGTCTGCCCACGAACTCGCTGGCTCCCACCTCAGAGCTTCTGCCCTTGCAGTTCCTGCAGCCTAGACCGCTCTTCCTTGTCACCCCCACCTCTCAGCTCTAACTCCTCAGGGCTCCTTCCCATCAATTAGGTCTCAACTCAGATGTCCCCTCCCCGACCATGCATGTAAAGTAGCCTACCCTCTGGTCTCCATCACATCCCTGGGTTGTATTTTTATTATAGCACTAACCACTGCAGAAAACTTCCCTACACTCATGCTTTTATTGCCTGTTTATTACCTCTCTTCTACTAAATTTTATTCAATTAATAATATAAACCACAATAAATGTGTTAGAAAGTAATAAATGGTGTGGAAAATATAGAACAGGGTATGGGAGAGGGGGAATTGTGGGAGCGGGGAGGTTGCAGTTTTATACTGAAAGGAATTGAGGGAGCCAGTCATGCCAACATCTGGAGGGAGAGCATTCCAGGCAGAGGGAACAGCTAGTGCAATGGCCCTGAGGCCTGTTGAGTTTGAGGAACTGCAAGGAGACCACTGGGGCCTGGCAGTGGTGAGGAGGGGAGAGCAGTAGGAGACCGGGTCAGAATGTGCAGGGTGGGACTGTGTGAACCTGTGAGGGCTGTTACTCCAGCTGAGATGAACAGCCATCACAGGGTCTTGAGTGAGGAGTGACCTGAGCTGTGTTTTAAAGGAGAGAATAAATGTAAGTGGAAGCAGACCACTGAGGAGGCTGCTGCAATAATCCAGGCAAGATGTGGTGGCGGCTGGCAGAGTCGTGAGAGGTGGCCAGATTCACGATGGGTTTTGAAGGTAGAGAGTGCAGAGTTTGCCGAGAGATTGCACGTGGGGAGTGAGCGAAAGAGGAGGTAAGGAGGACTCCAAGGCTTTGGCTTGAGCACCTGGAAGGAGAGATGCCATTACCTGAGATATGGAAGGTGGCAGGTGTTCTGTTTGGGGCCCGTTATGTTTGAGATGCCCAGCGGCCATCCAAGTGAAGGTGCTGAGAATAAAGTGGCACCTAGTAGTTGCTCAATAAATTTTTCATGACTGAGAGAAGGAATATGCAGAGTGCCTGAGCAAGCATAAACGGTGGCCGGAGTGTCAGGTAGGGGAGGAAAGCCTCCTGGCTTTGCAAGAGCTGTGCCCTCCGCCTGGTTTGCTCCCCGGCACCGTTCCTCTCCGTGGGGTCTAGTCATCTTCCGCTGCCGTTTTTGAGCTGTTACTATGGACCATGCTTCACAGCATTCTCATTTCCTCCCAGGAAAGCCCGCAGCGGGTATTCACGCCACAGCAAGTTATTGAGCGTCAACAGTGTGCCAGGTACTATCCTGACCCTCAGGGATCCCGAGGAGGTGAAAGGGCTAGCCTCGCGAGGAGCCGCGGCACGGAGGACTCCCAGTCCCGGAGCCCGCTCCTCTCGCGCCCGCCTCGGGAGCGCGCAGAGCGGGAGCTCCAAGGGGGCGTGGCTTTGGCAGGCTCGGAGGGCCTATTGGGCCCATAGAGGGCGGGGCACGACGTTGCTAGGGGGATTCTGATAGGCTCCGCCGGGGAAGGTTGGCCGCCGTGAGGCCCCGCCCCTCTAGAACGCGGTAGTCGAATCAGGTGACTACAGCGGTCCACTGCTCCGCAATCAGAAGCAGACGGCGGTCTCAGCGCCGTGGAAGGTAAGTTCCCCTGGCGGGGCGCGCCGGGGGATGCCCGCGCTAGGCTTGCCGTCCTTGGGGGCCGGGGACGGCAACCCAGACCTTGTGGGAGTCCAGAGCCTGGTCCCGGCCCGGCGCCTCCCCTCTTCCTGGGCGTCTTCAGCCGGTCGCTGCCTCTTTCTGGCTCCGGCCCAGCGGAGGGCAGCCCTCGGGCTCTCGGGGCTCCCAGTACTGCAGAGGGGGTGAGATCTGAAATCCAAGACACCTTGTTTAGGATTTCTGAAGGAAGAACCCAGGCTCCGGGAAGTGATGGCTGGGGGAGGGGGGAGGGGTAGTGAGGGCGGCTTGGGGACCGACTGTGGGATCCACGCCCAAGGTTAAGGGCGGCAGGGCTAGCTAGTCAGTAGTGACCCCAGTGCTTCTCTAACGTTTCTTAGCTTCCAAAGCCCAACATATAAAGCTGATGAAAGCAGAGCAGATCTGGTCAGACCCTGAGACACTGAGTCCAGAACAATGTTGCTGAAGACAGGTACCTATACTAGTGGGGGTGGCTTTGGGAGGGTAGTTGGGGTGGGAGTTACCTGGAGGAAGTTCCAGCCCTCTGGTGTCTGGGCCTCCTTCTCTGATGTGGGTATGTGGGGAGACATGTTCCTCTTATTCTTGGAGCTGGACAGGGAAAGGAGAAGGAGGTGTTCCTCACCCAGGAATCAGTTCCCCTCCAAAGAGGCCTCTTCCTTTCTCACCCCTTCTCCCAAGAGTGCAGAGACCCTATCTTATTGATACCAACCTGAGCTGAGAACAGCTCTGTAAAGTCGGTACAGTAACTCTGTTTTGATTTATTTTTTTTTTTGTGAGGAAGATCAGCCCTGAGCTAACATCCATGCTAATCCTCCTCTTTGCTGAGGAAGACCGGCTCTGAGCTAACATCTATTGCCAATCCTCCTCCTTTTTTTTCCTCCCCAAAGCCTCAGTAGATAGTTGTATGTCATAGTTGCACATCCTTCTAGTTGCTGTATGTGGGATGCGGCCTCAGCATGGCCAGAGAAGCGGTGCATCGGTGCGTGCCCAGGATCTGAACCCCGGGGCCACCAGTAGTGGAGCGTGAGCACTTAACCACTAAGCCACGGGGCCGGCCCAGTAACTCTGTTTTAAAGTAAGGAAACTCAGGCCCGAGAGGAAAAGGGCTCACCCAGGTGAGCTGGCTGGGTGCAGGTCCAACCTGGCTGACATCTTAAGCACTTCTGAGACCTCTTGGGGGGTCTGTGGTGGAAAGCAAAGAGCCCTGGATGGGACTCAGGAGACCTGGAGTCTGGCTACAGTGTACTGTCAAGTTCTGTGTGAATGGGGTGTGGGGAGCTGGTCAGAGTAAAGAAAGGATATGACCCCAAATGTTAGTTTTTGTTAATTCGAGCACTGCTGTGGCAACAGGAAGTGGGGACCCAGGCCTCAAACACATTGCCCTACCCCAGGCACCATCTGCCCACTCACTGCACTACAGGAGCCAGCAGTTGCAGGAAGAACCAATTCCACCTCAAGCCCGGGAGTCTGCTTTCCTTAACATGCCAGCCCACAACCTCTGCAAGACAGAACAGCATGTGGATGGGGTAGGGTGAGGGCCAGAGCTATGGGAGCCACTCATAGTCGTCCCCCTAATACCCCCTGCAGTGCTCTTGCTGGCCCTGGTGGCCCCGGTGCTTGTGCTGGAGAATGGGCTCCTTCGGAAGCCGCCCATGGGCTGGCTGGCCTGGGAACGCTTCCGCTGCAACATTGACTGTGATGAGGACCCGAAGAACTGCATCAGGTGAGTAAGGTCCGCACCGCCTGACAAGCCTTGCCCAGGGCCCTGCAGTGTGGGGGCAGGGAGCAGAGAGTCAGCCAGAAAAGAGGGCAGGGTCAGAGCCCTCCCATCCCAGAGAGACTGCAGCCAGAGGTAACTTTTGGGACATCTGCCATTCAGCCTCATGACCTGCTGGGGCCTCTGTGGAGCCTGTCAGGTCTGTGGGGCAAAGAGACCCTGTGGTTGACTCAACCCTGAGATAATCAAAAGGATATAACTGTTAAGGCCAGGCCAGATTCCACGTGCTTCCTCTTGCCCAGTCCTGCCCCTTTGCCTGGGGTCCAGACCACGCCTTTCACTCCACCTTGCTTAGGGGTCATGACACAATCCCTGGTGTCATTTACACTTTGTCTTTAGCTGACAGCAAGGCCATGGTTCTTAGAGCCTGGATTCACACTCAGAGCATCTGAGAAGCTTTGAGGAAGGGGGCGGGGGTCAGGGCCATGCTGAGCCTCTGAGCTGCCCCATCCTCTGCCCCTCGCCAGTGAGCGGCTCTTCATGGAGATGGCTGACCGGCTGGCACAGGATGGATGGCGGGACCTGGGCTACATATACCTTAACATCGATGACTGCTGGATTGGCGGGCGTGATGCCAAAGGCCACCTGCTGCCTGATCCCAAGCGCTTCCCCAATGGCATTGCCTTCCTGGCTGACTATGTGAGCTCTGCCCCAGCCCTGCCTCTCAGCCTGGGGGCCAGACCACTCTCCACACCATGCTGCTTAGGACTCATTTCCACAATCTCTGCTTGAGGACTGTCTGGTGGGGGAAACAGATAAATGAACAGCTAGTTTTGGCTCACTGTGGTGGGTGAGAGCCAAGAAGGGTACTTATCCAGCCTGGAATTTTAGGAAGGTTTTCTGGAGGAGGTAGTTCTTGAGCTGATACCAGAGAGATGGCATTTGAGGCAGAGGGGATGGCAGAAGCAAAGGCCTAGAAGCAAGCAACAGCCCATGGGAGATGTGTGTGTTGGAGGGAGAGGAAGGACCATAGTTGGCAGAGGCCAGGCAAGCAAGCTGAGACCCTTTCTTTTGGTCAATGGGAAGCCATTGAAGGTTTTAATGGGGCCTGGTCAGATGTGCCTATGAGGCAGCTCTCTGAGGGTCCTGCCTGAGCCCACTGTGTCCTCCACCCACCACAGGCTCACTCCCTGGGCCTGAAGCTGGGCATCTACGAGGACTTGGGAAATTTCACCTGCATGGGTTACCCAGGCACCACGCTAGACAAGGTGGTCCAGGATGCTGAAACGTTCGCCAAGTGGAAGGTGGACATGCTGAAGCTGGATGGCTGCTTCTCAACCCCCGAAGAACGGGCCAAGGGTGGGTCCCACAGCTGGCTGGGGGCCATCAGGTAGACAGGGAGGGGTGGCCATAGAAGGCCCACCAGTGCCCACCTGGCTGAGCTTGTCTGTCTTTGGCCCCTAGGGGATAGTGTTTCCCAATTCCCCTCACCCAGGGGCTAGGGGGATCTTGGCTCCCAGGCTCCCTAAAAATGGGTTGGCACCATGCCCCACCCAGGAAGTGTTTGTGGCTCTGGGTACAGGGGCAAGCATCTCCTCTTTTGAGCCCCCGTTTCCTCACATTTGGTGGGATGAGGCCTCAGATTTCCTCCTGCACTCCTTGGTCCTGAAACATGGGGGCTTGGACTTCTCCAGGGTACCCCAAGATGGCTGCTGCCCTGAATGCCACAGGCCGGCCCATTGCCTTCTCCTGCAGCTGGCCAGCCTATGAAGGGGGCCTCCCCCCCAAGGTAAGCCATTCTGTGTGCCTGCCCAGCACTGCTCCCTACACCAGGCCACCTTGCCTCTTGCACATTCAGGGCTGTGCTCACCATAGTTGCCCACATGCTGATTTTTAGGTCTAGAGAGAGGGTCCTAAGTACCCTAGAGGGGGCCTCAGCCAGCCCAGGGTCTTAGAAGAGGAGATCCCAAGCGCTTGTCAGGTGGGCTGAAGGGGTTGGCATCCAAGTCAGGGGAGCCACATGTGATGTGCTGACACACAGCACCCAGCAAGTGGTCAGAGTCCTGTGTTGTACTGAGTGGGCTAGGACATCCAGAAGGCTGGTGAGGCCAGGCAGGTGGGGCCAACCCTCTGAAGGACCTTGTGGGCACCTCACCAGGGGCCTCTCAGCATCTAGGACACTGGAAAGGTGGGATCAGACTTGCGGACCTGAGGGAGAATGCTGGCGGGTGGTGGGACTCTTCCTGAGAGAACACGGGGGAAAGTGTGCGGCAGGGATGCTGTGGGTACACCAGCCTGGGCCCATAACCTGAGCTTGACCCCAACTGGCATGAAAGAGCAGGGTAGGCTTCTGGCACCAGCACACCTGCAGGGGAGGCCTGGGCAGCCCCAGAGCAGGGCCACTCTCTCTGAGGCCTTCCTCATCGTGAACAAGCTCAGGACCTGTTCTCTTCCTCCCCCTTCCCCACCCTCTGTGTCTCCTGCTGAGCCTCCCTAGGCCCTGTGCGGGCTTCTGGGCAGCAGGGTGTGACTCTGGTGCTGGACTTTCCCTTCCCCCAACATCCAGGTGAACTACAGTATGCTGGCAGACATCTGCAATCTCTGGCGCAACTATGACGACATCCAGGACTCCTGGAGGAGTGTGCTCTCCATCCTGGACTGGTTTGTGGACCACCAGGACATCCTGCAGCCAGTGGCGGGCCCTGGGCACTGGAACGACCCAGACATGGTACCCCCATGGAGGGGGATGTCCCAAGGCCCTCATCCATGAGTGATCTGCTCCCACTTCCCTCGTGCTCTCTTCTGGGATGCTCACTGCCAGCTTCCAGATCAGCGTCTCTGAAATGTGTCCTTGAACTAGCTGCAGTAGACTCACCTTGGGAGCTTTTTTACAATTCTGTTCCCAAGGCCCCACCCCCACCTTCTGGATCAGAATGTTGGGGGAAGGCCTGAGAATGCCTATTGTTAACAATCTTCCCAGGCAGTTCTGATGTTTCTTGAAACTTGAGAGCTTGGTCTGTAGTGACTCTTGTGTGAGACATTATTCCTGTGCAGGGTGAAGATCATGAATATTCCACACTCTCTTACTACTGCCCTCCCTACACTGCCCTCACCCAGGCTGCCTCTGGCCCCTCTTTCAATGCCCTGTACCCTGTTACCCTCCTGCAGAGCCTCCACGGGCAGAACTGGCCCCTTATACCTACCTCACTCATAGCCCTGGTGACTTAATATTTTTTGCAAATTATCTTATAGTTTTATAGCTATCTCTTCACTTAGTCAATAAGCATTTACTATCAGTGATGATTAGAATAACTATAAATCCTAGGCCAGATGGAGGGGTGCCTGGAGAAATAGAAATTGGCCTGCTTTGAGTTCTAGCTCCAGCTCTGCCATGGACCTTGGGCAAGTGACTCAGTTTTTCCTGTGCCTCAGTTTTGTCACTTGGAAAATGAGAATAAGAATAGTAGCTACCTTATAGAGGGTTGTTTTGAGGGTTAAATGGATGACCCTTTAAGCACAGTTTGGCATATATACAGTGCTTAGTAAAACTGGTATCACTAAGTATGTAACCATGTTGCATTAGCAATAATTGTTTGTGTCCCATCTGTGGATTGGTTGCCCGGGGGTCAGGAGCCCCCCTTGGTCCAGTCAGCTGTGGTTAGGGCTGGTGTGTGGCTAGTGGCAGGAGCACGGACTCTGTCCAGGTCTGGTTTCCTACCATTGCCACCCTGGGTGTATTTCTTGACTTGTGTATTCCAGTTTATAAATGCTTTTGGCAACAGGATCCCATTGGATCATGTGACACAGCCAGAGCATATTGTCACCCCCTTCTTGGTGAAATAAAAAGCTGAGGCTCAAATGGAAAGTGACTCAACCCACCCCAAGACCACACCGGGGGAATGGTGTTCAATGAACCAGGCCCCACATGTGGCCATCTTCCCCCACCTCCATCTTCTCTTGCCTTGGCTATAAGTTTAGGGTTGGTCCTTGTGCTCACGTCCCAAAGCGGGCAGAGCTCACTGCTCCTCTCCTCTGCCCCTAGCTACTCATTGGGAACTATGGCCTCAGCTTTGAGCAAGCCCAGGCTCAGATGGCCCTTTGGACAGTGCTGGCAGCCCCCCTCTTCATGTCCACGGACCTGCGTACCATCTCTGCCCAGAACATGGACATTCTGCAGAATCCACTCATGATAAAAATCAACCAGGATCCCTTAGGCATCCAGGGATGCAGGATTCTCAAGGTACTGGGGTGTGGGAGGAAGGAAGGGGAGGCTGAGGGACTGGGCTCCCCTGAGAATGTGGCTGCAAGGTTTGAGCCAAGCCTGGAGGTCACGGTGGGGAGAGGGTGCTGGGCCTCTGAAATCCACTCACCTCACCTGCTAGTGGCATTCAGTCAAGGACTCCATAGGGACCTGCTCCAACTGTCCTCCACTTGCCTGGGTGAGAGCAGGACAGCTTATGGGATTCGGAAAGGAGATGTGACCACGCAAGTGCACGTGGGAACAGTGAGGCCCCTTGGTTTGGAAGCACAAGACTTCTGCACACATCTGTAATGTCCAGCAGAGAACTAGGGCTTCCCTCCAGAGTTTAGGAGTTGTCTAAATCAAGGAATGCAACGACTACTAGTACTAGCATCTACTATTTTTTGAGTACCTACTGGGCATTCTAGATACATTTTTTTTTTTTTTTTTTTAAAGATTTTATTTATTCAGTTTTTTCCCCCCAAAGCCCCAGTAGATAGTTGCATGTCGTAGATTCACATCCTTCTAGTTGCTGTACGTGGGACTCGGCCTCACATTGGACGGAGAAGTGGTGCCTCGGGGCGCTCCCGGGATCCGAACCCGGGTCGCCAGCATCAGAGCGCGCGCACTTAACCGCTAAGCCACAGAGCCGGCCCATTCTAGATACATTTTCTCAGAAGGTAGATACTCCTTCCCTGTTGCACAAATGAGGGAGCTGAGACTTGAAGAGTCTAAGTAACTTGAGCCCACAGCCACACCATTGATAAATGGTACAACAACACTTGGCTCTAACAGTGTTGCCTCAAAGCTTGTGCTCTTTGCACAGATCCTTGCCTCTCTAGTAAAAAGAAATCTACACAACCATAGAAGGCACCTGTAGAATAAGTGATGCCCAGAGGAGGTAAGTGATCCCTGCCAGAGGAGCTGATGGTGGAGCTGGGAGCTCAGGGCAGAGTTCATCGTTCCCCCTGGCCAGTGCCCTTCACTCCAGCGCCAGCAGCTTCCATGTCTACCCCTCCCATTATCCTGTGAACTCTCTGAGGCAGGACCTCATGAAGCATTTTTCTCTGTGTCCTAGCACGGGGCATAGTGTCTGCTGGCTTTGGGGAGCGTCTGCTGAGTCGGGGAAGGAAGGAAAGAAGGAAGAGTTTGATAAGTTGGGGTGCTGAAGGGCTGTGGTATTTCCCCCCAAGCATGGAACTACAGGCTGGGGAGACCCAGAGCTCAAGAGAAGACTGGGAAGGGGACATCAGGGCCTGCCTGAGCAGGGACCCCAGCCAGTATCCATGTTCTGTGCCCAGGAGAAATCCCACATCGAAGTGTTCATGCGGCCTCTGGCCAATAAGGCCAGTGCCTTAGTCTTCTTCAGCCGCAGGATGGATATGCCATATCGCTACCATTCTTCCCTCGCCCAGCTCAACTTCACCAGCTCCAACATGTACGAGGTGAGTGCCTCACTGCCTGCAGGGCTTCAGGTTTCCCTGGGAGGGCATTGCTGAGGGTGGTTCTCACTCACACATGGCTTCCCCTAAGCCGTAGCCCTTGAATCCTTTAGCAGTTGCCATGGGGCAGCTGCAGGCACTGAGGGCTGTGGCTGGTACTGTTCTCTGCACTGGTGTTTTCAAGCTATACAAACAGAACTACTGTGTATAAATGAGTCCTGTGGTCTGAGGCCATGTTCTTTCCGTCATTGGTCAGTCCTTGCTGGCATGTTCCTCAGGTTCTCTATGGGCTGGGGCTTTGGCCACTGCCTGTGTTTAGGCAACTGTTGGCTTTGCCAGTGGAGAAGTGATGGGAGAGTCAGGGTTCCCACTTCTGTGGGGCATACTGGAGGCCCAGGACAGACCTGCCAAAGTCTAGGCTTCTACATCCTCTGAGGGGGTCTCTGTGCAGCAATTCTTATGGTGGCATTGGTGATGTCCCTTCCCACTGCAGGCCCAGAACGTCTACACGGGTGATATCATCAGTGGCCTCCGGGCTGAAACCAACTTCACAGTGGTCATCAACCCTTCGGGGGTGGTGATGTGGTACCTGTATCCTGTGAGGAAGCTGGAGACACCCCAGCAATGAGGAGCCAGGATATGTGAGAGGCTGTGGTGGCATCACTGAGCCAAGACCGTGGAGCCTTGGCATGCTGAGGGCCAGTAGGTGGGGTTTTCTGCTACACAGGCCCACTCGTCGACCTGACCTCCTTAGACCCAAAGTGCAATCTCAGGACCAGGTTCCACGCCCTGCCCAAGTGTGAACCCTCTTGGAAACTTGTCTTGGGGCAATTTCCTGTGGCCTTCCTGGCCTCTACCTCCACTGCACAGCTCCACAGATGTTGCTAAACAACTCAGCCAGCTTCCTGAACACCGACAGGCAGGGGCACTGATACCCATCAGGACTCCAGCCTCTGACCTTCTTTTTGTTGACTCTGAAATCAGGATTTGGAATTTTTCTTATAATTAGGAGTGGAGATCTCACCTCTTGTCAGGAACTTCCATGAATCGTGTGATTGGCTTTCCTGCCTGGAGAAGGCCTTGAAGGCTAACACCACCTGAGAGTGATCTTGGCTCCCTCAGGTCACCAATAAAGCTGTTCTTTAGTCAAGTAGTTGTCATATGGACCTGGGGCCATGGGCACCTTCAGTTAGGGACTCTGGATGGCAGTACACAGGGTGCTTGTTTCAAATCTCACCTCACAGGGAAGATGTATGGCATCTTCTAGTCCCTCATTTTCCAAAGCAACCTGCAGATTGTACTTCTAGACATGCCAAACTTGCCTCACCCTAGGGAGCCATCCCTACTCTGCCTTGTGGTGAAACACAGTGAGGCAGAGCAGTGATGTTCACAGGCCCTCTTTGTCTTGTACACCCCTTCCCCACCCCATTCAGATGTTACAGGGTCTGCCAGCCACTGCTCCCCTCTCCCAGCCCCGCTGCTGCACAGTGAAAGGCCCTGATCTGCTGAGCAACTTGGCATCATTGTCTTAGGTGCCTTTCAGCTCATCTCCCCTTTCTGACAGGGCTTCATTCAGTGGCACCCTGCAGCTGGGGGTGGGTGTGGGGGTGTCAGCTCTGCCTTTCTCCCACAAGGTCCCTACAGCTTGTCCTCTGCCCAGCAGTATCCTCTGGCCCCTCCCTTAGTTTCTCCTTTCCTAACTTGGCTACAGAGGAGATTCAAATTCCCCAGCTCTGTCTAAAGACAAGTCCAAGGGCTCTTTGTGTCTTAAAATATATTTCCTGGGGCTGGCCCGGTGGCGTATTGGTTAGGTTTGCATGCTCCGCTTCAGCGGTCCAGGGTGTGCAGGTTCGGATCCCGGGCATGGACCTACGGACTGCTTACCAAGCCATGCTGTGGCAGGTGTCCCACATATAAAGTAGAGGAAGATGGGCACAGATGTTATCCCACAGCCAATCTTCCTCAGCAAAAAAGAGGAGGATTGGCCACAGATGTTAGCTCAGTGCTAATCTCCCTCTCACACACACACACACACACACACACACACACACACATACACACTATATATATATATATATATATATTTCCTGCTCCTCCTCCTAGGAAAAGGGGTATTAAAGTAAAAGAAGGGCAGGTTCTTGACTGCTTGCCTTTGTTTCCCATTTCCCAAGCCCTCTTTCTTTAGCTAAAGCCACAGGGCACCTGTCTTCCTGATGGCTCTTGTCCCCATTTGGAAAGCTGGCAGCAGAGCAGGCTAGGTAGGTTCTCCTTGGGCTTTGAATGTGACAGCACCCACTGCCCCAGGCCTTGCACTACCCTGGCCTGTGGGTGGATCTCCTGTGCTCCCTCCCCAGGGTTTGAGGTCCTTAAATTTAGAGTATGGTGTAAAAAACTTACAAGTGCACATTTTATAGTGTCATTTAAGATTACTGGAGCTTCACTGATTGAGGCTAGAGTTATCAGAGAAAGCTCCCTTTCCCCATTTGGTGTCTTGAGGCTGTAGGTCACTCAGGAGGACAGAAGCCTACCTCATCCCAGGCCTCTGCCCTTGGAAGCCTGTCACCCTATGCATAACTCCAGCTTTGGGTCTTGGTCATAATGCTGTTCAAGCCAAATGGAATGGTCTCAGGTGGGAACACTTTTTTGCCAGCTCCAGGAAAGAAGTCTTTCCTACCCCCCTGGGATGTGGTGGAGTATAGTGGTTGAGACCATGGACTTGGGAGTTGGGACCAGGAATCAACCTGGACTAGACCAGTCAATTCCTTTGCCTTCCAGACTCAGAGATGGTTACATGTCTTTACTTGCTGTATAACTTCTTTTATTCTAGGGGTGCCTGATTGATTCTCTCTCTTTAGCCTTCATTGTCTCAACATACACACTGCCTATCTTCCAGGACATTGTTTTACTCCCTTCTACCCAAGGCTAGTTAGGGACTCAGTTATTTTTTCCCAGTTCAAGGCAGCCTTGTTTGGTACTCCCCCTCTTTTAAAAAAATTTTATTATAGAAATTTTCAAATACAAAAATAAAATGGTACAGTGAACCTCCATGTACCCATCACCCAGATCCAACAACCATCAACATGTGCCATTATTTCATTTCTCTCTTCCCACACATCCTTTTTTTTTTTTTTGCACATGAGAGTATTTGAAAGCAAAGCAAAGCAAATTCTAAACACCACTATGTAGCACTAACAGATAGGGTTTTTAAAAATATGTATCACCAGAGTGACATCAGCATCATGACAGAGTGAGCTTTCCCCATTGAACTCTCCCCCACTAAAATACAACAAAAAGGACATTCATATAACAACAGAAGACATTCACACAACACAAAAGATATCTGAGAGACCCTCACAGCTGTACATCTAAGGCTGAAGGTGCTGGAACCCCCAGAGGAAGTGGAAGGAGGTAGGAAGAACTCCCCTCCTTCCCCAACGACAGCGACCCTGAGACCGAGGCCTTGTGGCTCTCGAAGAAGGGGGGAGGGGCGGCCCTCCATGGGAAAACTGTCACTCTCCAAGTTCCCTCACAGCCCATGGAGAACTCCCTCATGGAGGGAACGGAACCATTGCAGGGGTGCCTTCATCAAGCTAGCACCCCAGGAGAGCAGATAGCAAGGGGGCAGCAAGAAGGCCCTGGGATTGGGAAGGCGAGAGTGAGCACCCCTCCACCCCTGCTGGGCACTTCAGCTCAGCAGTGTTACAGCCTCAGCTCAGCCAAGCTCCAGCCCCAGCAGCTCTGGCCTGACCGCATGTCGGCCCCCACTGCTGCGGCCCCGCTGCTCCGGCCCAGCCACTGTCCAGCCCCAGCTGCTCCAGCTGGGCTGTGCTCCAACTCCAGCTGCTCCAGCCCGGCCACAATCCAGCTCAGCCACACTTCAGCCCAGCCGCACTTCATCTCAGCTGCACTTCATCTCAGCCAATCAGCGAGAGCACCTGCAGGTAGCAGTGGGCTCAGAATACACAGATCTTGACACCCATCCCGTGGTGGCAGGTGGAAACCACGACCAGATATTTTCAGTATGAGGAAAAATAAGCCAACACCATCAGGCACTATGCAAAAATATAGTAAATCTCCAGAACAGAAGGAAAATAACAAGCACCCAGAAATCAATCCTGAAGGCACAGAAATCTATAACCTAAATGACGGAGAATTCAAAATAGCTATCATAAAAAAAGCTCAACGAATTACAAGAAAATACAGATAGACAATTCAGTGAAATCAGGAATTTCTTCACAAAAGGGATTGCAACTATAAAGAAAAACCAATCAGAAATATTGGAGATGAAAAACACAATGGAGGAGATAAAGAAAAATCTGGAGTCCCTAAAGAACAAAGCTGACAATATGGAGGAAAGAATTAGTAATATTGAGGATACAAATGTAGAAATGCCGCAGATGGAGGAGGAGAGAGAACTAAGACTAAAAAGAAATGAAGAAATTCTCTGAGAAATATCTGACTCAATTAGGAAATCCAACATAAGGATTATAGGTATCCCAGAGGGAGAAGAGAGGGAAAAAGGAGCAGAGAGCTTGTTCAAAGAAATAATAGCTGAGAACTTCCCAAACTTGGGGAAGGAGCTGGAAATACCAGTGAATGAAGTCAACAGATCTCTTAAATATATCAACATGAAAAGATCCTCTCCAAGGCATATAGTAGTAAAATTGGCAAAGGTCAGTGACAAAGAAAAAATATTAAGGGCAGCTAGACACACACACACACACAAAAATAACATATAAAGGAATTCCTATCAGGCTATCAGCTGATTTCTCACCAGAAACTTTACAGGCTAGGAGAGAGTGGAATGATATATTCAAAATTCAGAAAGACAAAAACTTTCAGCCAAGAATACTCTATCCAGCGAAAATTTCCTTCATGATGGAAATGATGATGGAAATGATGGAGAAATAATAACTTTCCCAGATAAACAAAAGCTAAGGGAATTCATTGCCACAAGACCCCCCACTAAAAGAAATGCTCAAGAAGGCCTTCATGCCTGAAAAAAAAAGAAAGAGGATACAAAGCTTTGAACAAGGAGAAAAATAAGTAGACAAAACAAGAAAAATTGCAGCTATCAGACTGGGTCAGCAAACACTTAATTATAAAAGCAAAGATTAAGGGAAGGAAAACACCAAAAATAAATATAACCCCATCACTTTAAACACAAACTCACAACACAGGATCGAATAAGTTGTGACAAAAATAACTCAGTAGGGGAAGAGGAAAGGGATCAAATCGACTTAGTCTAAGGTAATCAGATGTCATCAGGAAATGGTCTATTTCATCCACGAGATTTTTTATACAAACCTCACAGTAACCACTAAACAAACAATCAGAACAGAGTCACACACAATAAATAAAGAGAAAACAAGAAAATCACCATACAGAACTACCAAACTGAATGGATCATCCAAAACACATGGGACAAGAAACAAAAGAAATGCAAAAGAACTGGAAAATGAGCAATAAAATAGCAACATTAAGCCCTCATAGATCAATAATCACCCTAAATGTAAATGGACTGACTTCTCCAATCAAAAGATGAAGAGTGGTGGGATGGATTAAAAAGCAAGACCCAACAATATGCTGCCTCCAGGAAACAAATCTCAGCTCCAAAGAGAAACACAGGCTCAGAGTGAAAGGATGGAAGACAATACTCCAAGCTAATGGCAAACAAAAGAAAGCAGGTATTGCTGTACTTATATCAGACAAAGTAGACTTCAAGATGAAACAGGTAATGAGAGACAAAGAGGGGCAACATATAATGATAAAAGGGACACTCCACCAAGAAGACATATCATTTATAAATATATATGCACCCAACACAGGAACACCAAAGTACATAAAGCAACTATTAACAAAACTAAAAGGAGATATTAACAACAACACAATAATAGTAGGGGATCTCAACATCCCACTTACATCAATGGATAGATCACCCAGACAGAAAGTTAGTAAGGAAATAGTGGACTTAAACAAAAAACTAGACGAGGTGAACTTAATAGATATATAGAGAGCACTCCATCCAAACACAGCAGACTATACATTCTTCTGAAGCACACATGGAACATTCTCAAGGATAAACCATATGTTGGTAAACAAGGCAAGCCTCTATAAATTTAAGACGATTGAACTCGTAACAAGCATCTT